GAGGTTAATTTTCTCAACTAAAAATGAGTCATTTATCACCTCTCTGAGAGGTGTGCTAGGGATAGGGAGGAGAGCAGGGATATGAAGGCATCCAAAGAACTGAGCCTACGAGTTTCCATGAGAAGGAATCCCAACACAGGGTGAGGCCTCTGGTGTTGGCAGAGATGAATGATAGAGAAGAGAAATGATTCTGCATCCGCCATGTAGGCTGAGCATAATTACCTAGAGGTGAATGTCTTTCAGGGCTGATGCAGTAAGAGGGGACGCTAGGACAGCAGTGCTGAGCTGTTGGGGTGCAGTGCACATGAGAGGCAGGAGCTTATAGGTACACAATATTGCAGCCCACCCCCACAGGCCCCATGCATGTCCTTGGCCATACAGGTGAGGCATGACTGCCCTGCATAGTTAGTGCCACGTCTACTTGCTTAGGGAAGTTCTTGTACACCGCATACCATGTACACAGACAGGGGGTGGGCAGGAACTGCTTTGATAGTCAAGGGCAACCCTGCTTGGGACAATCAGTCAGAAGAGACAGGGGAGAGGAAGGTAGTGATGAAAGTCTTGAGGTAAGCAGAGCTCAAGGAGAATGGAGAGTTCCAGCTTCCTTAGCCAGGCTCAGGCCTTCTATGATTCTGTTTTGAGAATGAAGTCCCCAAGATCCCAGGCATCCCTGCCTGTCCCACTCATGTGGAGATTTTTTCCTCTCATTTATGAGGTCCACTCAGAAATACAATTACACTCACACAAACATACATACACTAGATCAGCTACACTGGGAAAGGGACATGGGAACAGGCTGGAGGCATTTTGGTGATGGAGCAAGTGTGCCCAGTGTCCTACCAACAATCCTGGAGCTTTTTCATGGGAGAGAAGACTTGCCAGGTGCATTAGTTACCTTTCCACTGCTAGGACTAAATACCTGACACCACAATGTAAAGGTTTATGGTTTCAGAGGATTCAGTTCCTGCATATTTGGCTTGCTCCAAGGCAGAAGTAGCATGGTAGAGGGGCATGGTGGAAGGAAGTTCCTCACCCCATGGTAGTCAGGAAAGAGTGAGAGAAAGAAGGAACTGAGAACAAAATACAACATTCCAGATCATGCCCCCAGTGACCCACCTCCTAACAATACATTTAGCTATTAACTCATCAATGGAAAAAAATTCACTGATGAGTCTAGTGCCCCATGATTCAATAGCCTCCCAAAAGCTTCACCTCTTAAATACATGGGACTTTTGGGAGACATTTTAGATCTAACTCCCAGCATTCCTCCTTTGACTTCAAAAGGCTCATGTTTATCTAATTTATGCAAAATGCATTTAATCCATTTCTAAGAATTGCTAAACATCTTAATGTCTCAACACTGCTAAAAATTCCAACTCTGAAGTTTCTTCTAAGATCAAGGCAAACTCATAGCTGTGAAACCTTGCAAAAGTAAAAAGAAAGTTAAATGCTTCCAGTACATAATGATGTACAGTGAACATTCCTATTCCAAAAAGGAGAAATAGAAGGATAGAAAGGAATTGGACCAAAGTAGGCTTAAAAACCAGTAGAGCAATCATTAAATCCTGTAGCTCTATCTTCAGCTTCAAGAGCATGTGATGGTGAGACGTGAGTTATAAAGGGCCTAGGCATGACATAGCCTTGATATTAGACTGCCTTGAAATTTTCTCTGCTAGGTTAACTAGTCTACTGCCTCTAAATTCAGTCTCAGACAAAAATCTTAGGGCATGCACAAAATATACACAAATTCTTTACCACAATTAGACACACATGGCCTCTAGTGCAGTTTCCCATAGAGTCCTCCTTCCTATCTGAAATCTTATGAGCCTGGCCTTTACTGTTCACATTCCTATGAGCACTGTGGTCTTCTGAGCTCTCACTAGAATCTCCCATCAGTCTCTGATTGAGGCAGTCCAGGGCTGCTCTAGCTAACATCTCCAAACTTTTCTTAATTCTTCCCACAAACCAGTTCCAAATGCTTCTGAAACACATGATCAAGTATAGTCACTGGAACAACTTTCTACTACTGGTACCAATTTTCTGCATTAATTACTTTTCCATTGCTGGGACAAAGTACCTGACACCTGCAATTTAAAGGAGATGATGTTTATTTTGACTCACCGTTTCAGAGTGTTCCATCCATGTATGGTTTTTTCGCTCCAAGGCACAAATGGCGTGACAGAAGAGCATGGTGCAGGAAAGCTGTTCAACACATTGCAGCCAGGAATCAGTGAGAGAAGAGACAGTCCGGGGTCAAGGGCACACCCTTTCAGGTCATGTCCTCAGTGGCTCACCTCTCCTCACATAGCCTCACCTCCTCACAGAACAGTCAGCTATGGACTCATCAGTGGATTACTCCATGGACGAGAATAGCACCCCCATGATCTAATCACCTTCCAAAATTCCCATGTGAGACTTTTGGGGGACATTTTAGACCTAAACCAGGCTAAGGCAGTGGGTGCCCAAGGTTCCCATGATTTACCTTGCCTGAAGACTTCATTAAAGTATCCTCAAGGAAAGGGGTCCTGGACCCACTGATTTGGCAACCTGGAAGTTGTAACCTGTTAGCGTGGAGAGGCCACCATGCTTTTTGGAAACCTGAAATTCTTGCATGTTAAATTGAAGTTCTTAAACCAGGTGACCCAGGACAAAGTTCTCTCAGGTTCTACAAAGTTACTTGCATCCTTCACCAGTGGCCACAGCATACCAAGATCTTCTACCAAGAAAAAGAAAGTTCTTTTTCCTCCCTGGAAGTAGTAATGTGTAAGAGAGCAGCCTGGGGGGTTAGGGAACTGAAGACTTCAGTCATGCAGATGGGGCAAAGCACTGGACCACTCCTCTAGATTCCATGGATGAGGAATTTCTTGATGGAGCCTTGGGGTCCACATGTGGAAGTAGGGCTGGGGTCATTTCCCTGGCTGTGGCTGGGAAGCCTCAGAATGACATCTGGGGCAAACAGAAGAAAAGAAGGTGGCTGTAAGGAACTCACTGGTCTCTTGGTGTACCCTGGGGAGGAACAGCGGTGGGTATGAGGAAAATAAAGACAAGAGACAGAAGCAGGGGTCAGATGGAGGCCTCTTTACCATGGGAGGGCTAGAGGACTAAACAACAACAGTAAGGGCATTAATTTATACCCTTGCAAAGTTAGTATCCTGAGAGACAATGTTGCCTAGCAACTAACGACTGAAATTGTCCAGGCAGGGTGTTTATCTCAAGACTGAGGTAGCTTGACTGCTTGAGGCACTCTAGCTCTGCCCTGCCCTCACACCTATAACCAATTTCCAGCTCCAGCCTCTCCTAACAGGTGGCAAGGAAGACTGATATGTCTTTATTGCCCCCTGGAACTTTCAGGTCTGGCTCCTCTGCTCCCTGACCCCTGGGAACCCCCTCTTTGAGGACACCCACACCCACCTGAAGGTTTTGATTGGTTTCATACTGGTGTTGCACTGCAGACACAGGCCACTGAGGGGCAGCAGTCACCACTGTGCTCAATGGTGTACCAAGGAGTGGTCCCCAGGGCCACACTGTGTGTGCCTTGCCTCCTATCCAACTGGACTTACCATCATAAAGGGGCAGGAACCAAAGAGATTCTTAATAACATCTGATAAGCTCAACTCTCCTAGGACAGGACCCCAAGGTCTCCATAGACTGTAGACTTCTTTCATAGAAACAGCTTCTGTAAGGGCTCTGGACAGTACCCTATTGATACCAGAGTCCAAGTGCTCAGCGCACAGGCAGAGGCCTCCATATCTCCGGAGCAGACACTCAGAAGAAGGAGCTCAGTGGTCAGAGCACAGCTTCTCGCCAACTGCAGCTGGTCTGGGGTGAGACCGATCCTCACCAGTTGCCTCTCACTGTCCCTCCTAGACTCCTGTCACCCCAAGACTCTGAAGGTTCCCTTCCTGCTTACTCATGGGGAGCAGGCAAGCAGTGCTGCCCACACCCACACCCTCCTTCCTCACATCTGTACAGAAAGGGATTGTGTGAATCCTCTACCACCTGGAATCATGCTGGTCTCCCCTGAAGAAGGCTTCAGTCTGGGTCTGCCAAGAGCACTGGGATCCAATTCAAAGACAGAAATGACCGAAGGTGAGAGTGACTGCGCCGGGTCTCACCAACCTCTCCCCTGCTGTTCCTTCTGGGTCAGTCTGAGGGAGAACCCACCCACACATCGGGGGGAAGGGCACAGACCACTGCTTCTTCCACCCAGACTAGGTTCTGGAACGTCAGGCCACCTCCCTTTTCCCTTATAAGAGGTGCAAATCCCACCCTGCTGGTCTCATACCCTAGCCTGGTGCCTCTACCTTCCTCCTTAGCATTGGACGTCTCCAACCAGTGTTTCTCTGATTGTCCCAGGGAGTGAGCTGGTGCCCTGGTTTGATCCACTTTATATGGATGCCAAGTCCTCCACTTAGGCTGCTGGAGGGCAAGCACAAGGGCACGGAAAGCCAGAAAGGTCTTCAGGGTCTTCACAGGGGAAAGGTAGGAAGACAGGATACAGTAGCCAAAGGGCTGGAGGGGAAAGACAGCAATTCAGCTCACAGGGGCCTAGCCCTGGGTGTACCTCAGCCCCTTGGGGAGCTGCATAAAGAGCAGTTGGGTACTGTACTTAGAATTTGAAGGCCTGGAACCAGTGGGAAGGTGTGGGGACTTCAGTGTTGGTGGAAATGGAAGCTGGGTGTGGGGGACGTCAGAACCTGGGCTAGTCCAGCCCCCGGGAGAGGGATGGAGTACAAGGAACTTTTGTCATCCTCCTGGTTCCTGTTTTGGAGACACTGTACTTTCCATTCTGATATCATTCTCTCTGGGATAAGGTTTCCTCAGAGAAAGTCAACGAGCCCTCAGGATGGCTGATTACACCGCTCACCGCCCATTCACCTCCATCCAAATGAAACAGTGCACTCGGCCCTACAGCGAAGCTTCGGGAGACACTGTGCGGTCAGTGAGGGTGGGGTCCAGCCCTCAGGGCTGCCAGTGTGGGGATAAAGAGCAAGGGGAGACCAGGAGCACAGAGCGACATGGGGACCATGCAGCTGCTCCTGTTCACTGTGGGGCTGGGCCTGCTCTCTGTGATGCAAGCCGAGAGCCCCCCTCTGACTCCTGCCCTTGCTAAGGAGGTGACAGCCTTGGGGAGGGTCCGGGAGGGGCTTGGGTGTCTGAGGCCAGGTGCTCAGGTGGGGTGAGAGGCTCGGGACCACTGCCTGGAGCACGGGTGGGTGTCAGCGCGGCGCCCATGTTATGACCTTAGGTCTGCGAAGCAGAGCTGTGTCCAGAGGTCTGCAGAGGGGGCATGGTGTCTTGCTGTGCTCTGGCAAGGCACAGAGAGCGCTGGCGTGGCTTAGGGAACTCCAGGCTGTCCCTGACCCACTCCCTGCCTCTGTCACCTTGTGTGCTCCTGTCAGATGAGAAGCCAATTAGAATTTTAGTGAACCGCTCATGCATGACCAGCTTCATAAAAGTATGGATTGTCTGAGACCTTTTTTTACTTTAAAAATTACGCTGTGTTTTGTGACAAGATACCAGGCAATGGGGAGGATCGGACATCCACCTAGGCTCTGTCACTGTTGGATAAAGGTGCCGATTGCTGTTTCCCTTATCTTTGACATTCTTGGCTTAGAAGCTGAGTCCATCTAACACTAAACAGGTCAAATCCTGTGTCCAGGGGGCCCAGGTTTCTCCAGCAACAAGTCCTACTCCTGGGCCTGACCCTAGGGCCTCCCTGTGGGGACCTTAAGTCCTCCTCTGCCTTCTCCAGGGTGGCCAGCTGCTGGCCATCCTCTTGGTCGCATAGACTTTGGGACACCAGATCCCCTGTCTGTCCTTCCCATTCCAAACCCCTGCCCTTAGTCCTCCCTGTCTCCGTCACCAAGCGGTGGTGGCCAGATATCCCAGGACTCTGGTGCAAGGTTCCTGGGACTGCCAGAGACTTGTGGGTACGGGGTCAGCACTGACTGCCTTTTACTTGCAGGAGAACATTGATGAGCCCTACCAGTAGAGGACCTGGGCACCTGAAAGACAAGGAGGCAGGCTCTGGGCCCAGGGGCTGGCAACAGCCAGCAGCAATGATGAACTTGACTCATATCTTGCACCTGCTCTATCTTTTTCTGTCACTGTCGTGTCCTCCTGTCTCATCCTCCTAAACACAAAGATTCTACCTCACCTCATCTTTTGGTGACTTCCCCAGGTGGCTTCCTGCTTGGGGGCTGGTGCAGGGTGCCTGACTAGAGATTATCCAATAGGTTTGTTCCCCAGAAGAGCCCCTGTTCCTGCCACCTGGGCCCACCTGCTGCTGATGTGGGGTGCGGAACACTGTGACTAGGCCCCTTCCTCCTCAGGCGTCTCAGGCCCCCAGCCTGCTCTGAGGCTCTAAGCCGAGCCCTCTCCTGCCTCTGCCTCCACTTCAGCTTCAGCCTGGTTCCCTTTTACTTGGTTCCCTCTACCCCTGCAGCTCTGCTCAAGGATGGCTTTTCCCTTCTAGCTTTTAGGACACTGGTTTATAATAGGCTGGGCAGGAAACATGCCTATTCCTGCAAAGAAGAAGGCCAGCCCGCTGCCGCCCTTCCTGTTCGCCAGGAACAATTTGAATAAGCTAGAATTCAGGATGAACATCAAGTGAGTACCCTGCATACAGGGACCCCTCTGTGTTCCTGGCTGCGTGTTCCCAGCCGCAACCTTCATCTCCCACGCAGTCCCTGGACTCAGCCGGTCACCCTACCTGGCATGTGTCGTGCCCTCCCTTATCTCGGCAAGGTTCTGGCAAAGCTGAATACAGGTGGCCTGAGATGCCCATTGCCAGATTCCGTGACCAGCTTTTCCAGCCCAGAGCTACTTGCTCCTGGAGAAGCCGTGTGAGCGTGCTGTGCTTGATTCTATGCAGACACAGAGCCTTAGGATCCCTCAGGATTTTGGTGTGAATTCCAGAGTCTGTAAGAAGTGCAGGCTGGAGTGGAGGCAGATCCAGGACTCTGTCATTTGCCAGATGCATTAGGAGAAACAGGGCTGGAGATCCAGGGCAGGACCTGGCCTCCTTGGTGGGGGCAGGGCGCCAGTCTGCTCTGAATTGATGGGGCGGGCCACGGCCATCAGCTCTGCACCTGCCCGGTTTCTCCCCTGCTGGGGTCTCCTGGAGCACACAGGGGATGGATGAGGGGGCGCGTGACAAGCCACATCCTTGGGGCTGTGGTCTGCTGCTATAAAGAAGTACTGGAGAAAGAACTGACCAAGAGTTCCCATCTGTGTCCACTGGACCTACACAGGAGCATTTACAAAGCTTCCAGGAAACCAGCCTGGGCTCCATAAGGCCACACTTGGGCCTGTGTTCCCTTAAGGCAAAAGGTCTGAATAGTCACAGTTGCCCGAAGGGCCTTACGTGCCCATAGTAAGGACATTCTGGTCCTACTTCAGGCGTCCATCGGCAGCCCAGGCTGGCTCAAGGATCCAAAGTGGTCACATAGTTGAAGAACGTTGGCTGGCTCCCAGTAACATACATTAGGAAGAAGTTGGAGACTGACCTTAGAGCTGGGGGCTCCATAGGTGTAACGAGGGAAGGCTTGGGCAGGCATCTGGGCCAAGAACCGTGCTCAGATTCTGTGTTCCAGGAAGCCCATTGGATGCGTTCAGTTCAAGCTTCCCCTGGACGAAGTTAACGGAAAACCCGGAAACTACCAGGCCTGTAAGTGGCCACTTACATGTTCTTTCTCCAGTGGGTCCTGCAGAAAGTGACCTGATGACCACAACAAGCTCATGTCATCCACAGGGTCAGGACATTTGGTGCTCATCAGTTTCCTGCCAAAGGGGAAGGACCATGCCATCGCTTACTATGAGGGCAAGGTGGTCCAGACCAAATACAAGATGTCAATGCTGATGGGTGCGTTGAGCACTTTCTATAATTGGAGGAGTTGGCTGGAGATTCCCAGGGCACCAGGCGGGCACAGGGTGCACTGCCTTCCAGCCCAGATCCCTCCGCCTCCCCCTCAGGCAGCCTTTCCTGGGACTCTGGGCTTTCAGAGGGGAGAGGGATTTGTGAGCTCTCCACCTCTGTCCTCCTCGGCTCTCACCCTGTCCCAAGGCCTCTGTCTACTCACAACGCACCCAGCTCGGCCCTCTCTCTCCTCTCCGCTCAGCCCAGCTTTCCTCTCTCTTCACCACTCAGTGGTGTGGCCAGACTCTGAAGAGGGCACTCTGGGGGCCTCTTGGCTCCAGGGACATGGAGAAAGGTTTAGAGAAGTGTGCTAGTCATGTGGGCATGGGTGGGTCTCTGCCTCTGGAAGGCGGAGGCCTGAGTGTCATTCAACCGTGCAGGACACTCCCCCGAGACAGTACCCTGCCCAAAAGTCAGCTGAGATCAGATGGAGACTCTGACCTCCACCCGCCAGCACCATTCACCCGTGAGAACCGCATCTCCGTCCTCTGATTCCCAGCTCTTAGCGCTCTTTCTTAACACTCTTAACGCCGAGTTCTTAATGCTTGTGCTCCAAGGAGCTTCCTGGACACAGAGATCCCTCGGCTGCTTGATTCACTCCGGCTCAGCACTCTCTGCCTGCTCCCTGCCTCCATCTGGCCATCCCTGACAGCAACCCTCAAGGAAGCTCAGGGCCCACAGAGCCCCAGCAACTTCCTGCTGGAGGGCTTGGGATGGAAGGGGGAGGCGTGCAGAGAAACACCTACTACCTGTGCACGGGCCCCGGTGCATACCATGCTCATGGACTGCAGAGGCCCTGGGTGCTGCTCAGTTTCTCTCGGCTATCCTCAGCTCACTTCCTCCACCCGTCCTGTCTTAGTCACTTTAGTATCTCTGGGACACAATGCCCGACACCCACAAGTTACAGAAGGAAAGGTTTATGTTGGTTCACAGTTGGCAGAGGTTTCAGTCCATAGCCGGCTGGCTCCAGGGCATGGCAGAGGAGGGTCAATCAGGGTGTGGCAGACAAGAAGCAGAGAGGGAGTGGAAGGGAGGAGGTGGGAGACAGACCCTTCCAAGCAGCGCCCCCAGTGATGCACCTCCTCTGACCAGGCTTCACCTCCCAGGCACACACCTAGCTATGAACTCATCACGGACTAACCCACGATGAGTATCACGCCCCCATGACCCGGTCACCCCCCAAAAGCCCCTCTTGTGAGTGCATTCGGGGGACATCTGGGTAGAAACCACAACATCCTTCTATACCACATTTCCCACGTTCCGCCTCTCCCATGGGCCTCATTATGCCAGCGGAGGACAGACAAAGCTCACTCGGGGTGTGGCCTACAATGTGCACAGTGCCTTCAGTAGGATTTGGGGGCAAAGTGCACACTGCCACTGAGGAGCATCCCAGGAGATAGACTTTCAGACCAGGTCCCCCCAGGGAGAGGATGGGGCCAGGAAGAATACGGGGCCCTGCAGGAAAGGAGGGCTCCCGGTGGGACATTTCCCATCACAACGAGCTTCTTTGTAGGGCAAGGGATGGCTCTTATGGGTCAGGCTGGACAGTGGAACCCTGCTCCGGAGGGCCTGCTGACCACTGACCTTCCTACCCTCTGCTTCCTGCCCAGCCATTAGACCAGGCCTGTCCCTCACAGAGGAGCTGGACCACAGAGGGCTGGGCTCCCTAAGCCCATGATGCACACACGCAGGAAATTCCACATCTCCTCTCTGTTCTCCCAGGTGGGGCTTGTGGGGCCTCTTTCCTTTGGAGACTTCTGAGCCACCCGTGGAGCTGTCCGCTTCCCAGGAGGCCCATCCACTCGGGTGGCTGGTGTCCTAAACAACAGGCGAAATGATTCCTGCAGGAAGGGTCGCACTTGGTCAACCCCCTTCTCAGAGGGTTTGGGCTTGGGGCAGGGGAGGATGTGGTTCACTTCGGGGTGCCCTGGGACAGCAGGCTTGAATCCTCCCAGTGCCGAGAGGCCCCCTGGGGAGTTGTCAGATACTGGCCTAGAGGGACGGCCCTCCTAAACCCCTCCTCACTCCCACACTGATTGGGGGCCCTGTCTTCGGACACCCACCTTCAGGCCGCTCCCTGGATGAAGACCCAGAGGCTAAGCAGGTCTTCGAGGAGCTTATGGACGAGAAAGAGCTGAACGGAACAGTCGTCTACCCACCCGCTGCTGGTAATGAGAAGGAATTTTAAATTTTCCTTCCTTTTTGTTCATAATTTCCATTCATCTGGCTATGTATCCTTGGCATTTCTTTCCTCCTGGGAAGTGACAATCTCACAACACCCCTTGTCTCTTTCTGGGCCTGCAGACAGCTGTGTGTTGGCGAAAGAGTCCTAGGGCCGCACAAACGGCCGGGAACGAGGAGCTGGGATCACGCTGCCCTCTGCGGACTGCAGGTCAAACTCCCCTGAGCTGGAGGAACTTCTCAATAAAACCTCTACTTCTGCTCACAATAAAGCATATAATGTCCCCTGGCCATGTGTGTCACACCAGGGTTAAGGTGACAGCTTTGTTTTAGTCAGATGTGGGAGGACACTCAGGTGTGACCACGATGATTAGGAAGGGAGGGATTTCATCGCACTCTTGGTTCCCTCACATCCGAGGGCAGCAGATAGGGAAGCCAGGCAGAGAGGAGAAGCCCTTGGGGGTGTGTATGGGAGGAAAGGGAGCACAGTGGCAGCCTCAGCAGCAGTAACTGTGGGTGCTCCCAGAGCCCTTGGACGGCCCCGAGTGGTCTGGTACCTGGAGCTGAATCTTGGTCCAAGTGAGGGAACCCACAGAGGCGGGCGGGTGGGGTTCTCTGCATATGAAAGATGGGGCTTCCAGGGAGGCCTTTACTATCTCTAGGAATTAGTTAACCTGGGAGAGCCAGGCCCTCCAGGAGTTGAGAGGCCCAGAAGTCAGAGCAAAGGGAGGATATAGAAAAACATAAAATTCACATTGCCAAGTCCAGACTCAAAGTGAAGAGATATTGATCCACCTCTCCAAAGCAGAAGTTCCAGTACACGGTGTTCAATTTTTACATATATGGTATCTTTCCTTTGGCCACAGTTATTTACATACAAAATACACTCAGCCTTCCCAGGATTACTCCCTCAAACCTCATGGAAGCAGGAGGCCCTGATTGACTGGCTGAGAACAGGATGGGGTCTGGGTGTGGACCAGGTTGGAGGGGGCTGGGGCAGGCTCACCTGGCCAGAGACTTGTGCAGTGGTAAGGCAGCTTATCTGCCCTCCCCCAGGCCGTTGATAGTGGAATGTGCTCACCTAGGAGGCAAAGAATGAAGGATCCAAAGGGACCAGACACCCCCTGCTGCGGTTGATACATTGTGTCAACTTGAGTGCAGAGGCTTGGCTAGGTGACTCAGCAGTTCTACATCCTGGGATGAAAAGGACCCGACCTTACCCTTCTGGGATGTTGCTCATTGTGTCAATCTGAGAAGTTTAGAAGGTTAACGATGTGACTCAGCAGGGAGCCAGGGTGCCTACTTTGTATTCATCCTGAGCCTGTGCAAGAGGAGGGCATGGAGACTGTGTGAGTGCTACACACCCTGTGGTGGGTGGGGTAGCCTGCTTACAATGTAAGGGGGAGAAGAGGCTTGTTCCCCCCCACAACTTTTTGCTCTTGTTGCCTTTGCTGTGTTGAAAGCCATGAACTGTTGCCCTCTACCATATGCCACCCTGCCTTGGAGCCAGCTGTGTATAGACTAAAGCCTCCACAAACTGTGAGCTAAATAAACCTTTCCTTCCTTCATTTTGGGTGTTGCATATTTTGTCCCAGCAACCAGACATAAGTAGAGACATAAGTAACCAAGACACCCCAAGATAAGCATCTGCACAAGCCAGGCTGGGAGATGGTGTCCTAATCATAAGGGACGGAGTGGGGCACAGATCCATGTTTTTCACTGTGTTGTTCCTTCCAGGTAACCCTCATGAAGGGATTGGGGCAGGTGTCCCTGAAGTAGGGCACACCACCCTCTTCTCTGTGATGCGGAGGGAGATGGGAACTTTCCTGTGAAGCCTTAGGAAAATAGAACCACCTAGGTGTCGTCAGCTTCACAGGAGGCTCTATACCGAATCAGACGCAAATAAACCTCTTTTGTGCTTTGAGGCCAGGCAGAGCAGTAAGATGTGGAGTCCTCTCGGACATGGGCCCCTGGGGTAGGCACCAGACCTGGAGCCCTGGTTATCACTGGACAGTGGTATCTCCTGAAAACGGCCTCTGACTGAACACAGAACGTGAGAGTGAGCCAGTGTTCAGCCCAGAGGTCACAGGGATGAGAATGCTGGGAAGGAGTAGGATTTTCTAAGGAAGCAAGCACAGAGGACAAGCTTCCTGGGTGTGGAGACCCACAGGAGTCTCCTCGTTCAGATGCCTTTCCTGGCATCCTATGTCTTATATAAATTGTGTTTTGATGACAGAATCCAACCCAACAAGCCTTGGGCTGTTTCATGCAAGGCAGAACTTCTGACTACTTACAGTCCCAACAGGGAGAGCTTGCTGCCAAGCAAGGCCACACGGAGTTGCTTGCACCTGGGGACAGGGTGGCAGGGGCTTAGGGGGCAGTGGACGGATAGCATATAAGGTATGGATTAGCTGGGCATCCTGGGCTCCCTGTTGGTTGGCTAATTTAAATAATTTTAGGGCTGAGAGGCTCCAGGGCACAGGTGCTTCTTTCAGTTGCAAGGAGGAACCTGCTCCTGGGGAAAGAAGAGCTCATGGATGTTGCCCCAGGCTGTGAGCACAGACCAGGGCAGTGGTTGATACTGGACTAATCGGCTGCTCAGACGGGGGAATGGATGGCTCCCAGCCGGATCCTCAGGCCTCGGTAAAGACATCGTGTTAGGGCTGCTCTGCCCTGTTCGGGCTCTGCCTTCTGTGTCTCAAGAATGGATTTTGGTTCTTATGAAATTTCTGAGGCTCTTCTTTACCACAGGCGGTCCCCATGTCCCTATGCCATCAGCTGGGCTCTGAGGTCAGCTGCAGATGGACAGTGACAATGTGCGCAGTAACAAGCGCCCAAGTCTCTGCATTGCTCTTCCAGACACCACAGAAACCACTGCAAGGAGCCCATAAAGCCACTGAGGCTCAGGAAATATCCTGATCCCCGTGCTGCCTCTGAGGGGAAGGCAGCATGGGCAGTGCCCGAGTCCAGGCCATGGCAACAGCTTAGCTGACTGTGTGATCTGGGAGACACAACAGGGTACCATTGAGGGAGGAAGACAGTGCACCGTGGAAATGCCGAGACCAGAGCTCCAACTGTGGGGGTGCAGCAAATAGGCACTTGGAAGGTGCTGGACCAGAGATGGCCACCTTAGCTGCATCATGGGTGGGGCTTTTCAGAGGTGACTGGATCCAGAGTGTGTGGTGCTGGGGTCAAGGGTGTGTGATTACCAAACTGGTCCACTGATTGGTTTGGCATAATTCTAGGCATGGATAACAGGAAGGCCCACTCTGGCTGTGAGTGCTGCCCACAGCAAATATCTCCAAATAGTCACATACTTATACTACCTGCATAGACAAAATCACTGTCTTAGTTACTTTCTCATTGCTGAGACAAAATACCCAAACCCCACAAGTTAAAGGAGGAGAGATTTATTCTGGCTCAAGTTTGTAGAGGTTTCAGTACATAGTCCACTGGCTCCAAGACAGGGTGGCATAGCAGACGTGCATGGCAGAGGAGAAACAGTCCACGGCAGGGTAGGCAGAAAGCCACAGCCATCAAGGGAAGAAGGATACCCATATATATTCTTCCAAGACATGACCACAGTGACCCACCTCTTCCCACTTGGCTTCCCCTCACAACACTGCGCTGAGCTGTAAAGCCAGCAGTGGACTAATCCAGTATCACACACTCATGACACAGTTTCTCCAAAAGCCCCACCTATGAGTGCATGAGGTTTTGAGGCCCCGCTCACATCACTGACAGATGGTGTTGTCACAGCATGAACGGTGGCCAATATTTCTGCTATTGTAACAAACGGTGTAAGTGAAAACAAGAAAGCTGTTGCTCTGAGGTTCAATCATTTCTCAGTGACATGAGCATGTCTTTTGGGAGGCAGGAGGATGCTTTATAAATATAAGCAAACTGCAACCTAGGGTTCTGCATTGTGATGGCAGAAATCAGGTTGTATTCCACAAGAAACCGAAGAACTCAATTTAGAAACAAACAGTTTAATTTGAGGCTAGCCACCCTTCATCCCTGATTTGCAAATCACAGAAGTGGGAGTGGGCCTGCCTTTGTTCCCACCTTATATACATTTTTGGTTTCCATGGTAACAGATTGGAATGTTGTAGTCCTGGCCACACCTTGTTTTCCTTGTGACAGGTAATCGGGTCAGGCTCCGGTCATGAGCCCAACCACAATGATATATACTTTTTGTACTCTGTTCTATATGTCTCCCTTTAGATAACCATACATTTCCTTTATGGTTACAATGTTTATCTAGGGCCAGAGAAAGGATGAAACAACCCAGGCAAGGTCATAGGTAGTTATCGAGGCCCGGGTGTACTTTGTCTTTGGAGAAGCATTCCAGGGCTAAGTCAGGACTGCAAAGTTAACTCTTTACAACCCCTCCGGGATGTTTCTCAAGACACGTTTTGAGGCTTGAATTAAGACTAGAATTATTCTATCTTAAAATGATATGCTAAGAGTCACTGTCCCCTACAGCATCACAGATGGTGTAAGGGACACAGACAAGACAGGCGGTCAAGCTCATGCCACATTATCAGGCGTCACCCCCTCCTAGCCCTATGACCCACAGGATTGGTGCAGGAGCCCTGCCCTATGCAGCAGCCCACCTCCCTGGTAAAAAAAAGCTCAACACGCAGCTGGCTCAGCTCAGGAGAGGAATGGATCACAGGTAGTTGTGTGGCTCTATGCGATACACAGATGCTGGCAGCCCAATAGCAGGCGCAGAGGAAAGTGCAGGAACACACTGTGTGGGTGTGGCTCTGAAAACGCATTGCCTTTGCTTTGGGTAGTGGATTCTGCGACCCCCACGCTGGTCCCCTGCGTCATCCTTGGCAGATTCACATGGGTGCCATGAGGGTTGGAGGGCAAGGGCACATTGGAGAACTTCTGCAGCTCAGGTGTGCACTGGCACGCAGGGTAGGCTCTGGTTCTAGAGGGAACACCGCAGGAGATCAGAGGTGTGGAGATAGCTCAGCAGCACAGGGCCTGCCTGGCAAGCACAAGGTCCTGAGTTCGATTTTTTGGTACCAAAAAAAATGTCTATTCCAGGATATCAAAGAAATGGCAGAGCAGCACCTGCCCCAAGACTTCTCAGGCAGAGACACCCTCCCTTGTCCACGATGGTTTCTCACAAGAAAATGCTTGCTCATTTTCTGGAAGACTATGCTTCTGCACCACTCAGTCATGTGCAGTGGCTTCCTCCTTTCATCCCCCCAGGAAGGAAAACCAGCTCAAGGGTCCAGAGACACTTCGGGGAGAGTGGCTCCCCCTTCCTCTATGGGGAATCAGGTTGGCTGGTCCTGGCCTTCCTGGCATCGCTCACCCCTGGGAGCTCAGTGTCAGCAGGAAATGCCAAATGAGCACAAACCTTTCCTGAATCCCAACCAAAGGGTGAGTTTCACTTCCTGGAGAGTCCTGAGGAAGTCCTTGGACAGAAAAGAAAGGAAGCCATAAATATGGCGGCAGAGAGCGCATTTTCCTATCTGTGTGGTTTGCACTGCCAGAAGAAGAGCGAGAGCAAGGCCATTCTGGTAACCCGGGAAAAGGCAGGGAGTGAGTCTGGATGTTCCTCTGTGTGTGGTGAGGGCCTTGGCCTTTGGCATCAGGCATGCCCTGACTAGGAGGTGAACACTTAAGAGGTAAGAGAAAGTCTGACCTGGACTTCTCAGCGTCTTGTAATCCTGCACACACTGAGATCAGATCACACGCACATTGAGAGTTGAGCACCCTGAGCTCGTGAAAGATCCAGCTGTCTTGTGTGAGGCTCCGGGGCTGGGGCTGCTTCCTAGTTAGTGCCCCACCAGAAAACCCCCAACTGCAGGCTGAGCCACTCCCTATGGCCTCCATTTCCCTCTTCCTCGCTAGTGCTGGTCACCTTCCATCCCCTCTACCTCGCCAGTTGGGACATTGTTACCCAGATCATGCTAGAATGAAAAATAAACAGGCTGGTTAGGGTTCTGCCCTGTTGCCCACCAGCACATGACAATGAGGAAAGCACCCGCCCCTTGGGGCTCACGGTCCCTGCCTGCATGGTAAGAAAGTGGCTTCAGCAGCTCCTGCCTGTGCTAGCACACTATGATATTAAGATGCTTGGGGCCGCTGTATTAGAGCCATGGCAGCTCTTAGGGAACATGTAGGCACCCCAAGAACCTTGTCATGTTGGGGGAGCTCGGGGAGGGGATGGAGGTGGATGCAGCATTTGGAGAGTGGACAGTGGGAGGTGGGCAGCACCACATGGGTTTAGATCTTGGCAGCACTGGGAAGGGTGCTGGGGAGTGCGCACTCTGGCATCACAGTCTGCAGTATGCTGTCGGCTCTATCACACTGCACCAACCTGACTGCTCCCCAGTCACATCTGTGATTCAGGCCTTCTGCCTCCCTCCTGCACTTCTAAGAACTTGCGTCTTTCCAGGGCCCCAGGATGATGCAGGACAATCTCCCACCCCAAGGGGAATGGGAGCCATCTTTAATTTTTCTCTGCTGGGTCACTGCAGACATGCACATCTGGGTTCAGGACATGGGACATTCTTGAGGCCCTTATTCTTCAGAGCACATATAGGAAAACAAATTTCTAGAAAAACCAATGGAAGATGGCTTTGCCCTCTGCCCATGATTCTTTGCTGGGAGACTGGCTGGATGCAGCTCACACTGTCTGCATCTAACCGGTACAGACTTAGGCAACGTCCCTCAGTGCTGTCCTTCTCATATGGGGTGGATGCAGCACAACAGAGGGAACAGCAAGGCAGGAGTCTGAGTACCGTGGAAGGCTCTAGGGCTGGTGGTGTGGAGAACTGTGCAGTGGGGAGATTGTTCTGGATGCAGTTCCCACCACATGGATCCACAGACACACCTGATACACATCCACACAAGTACACACAGACACAGAGGCATGCACAGATTCACAGACATGCACTCACACGCACACTGGGTCATAAACCCACCACTCACACATGTGCACAGACACAGACACGCATCAAAGCGCCCACATGCACACAGAGAGAAAGGCAAGCACA